ATTTGCTTTTTCAAAGAATCTACTGTTTGTTATATTGTTTCCTTGTATTGTCCCTTTATTCTCTATGTAATTAATTTCTTCCCTGATTACTACTGTTTCTGCCTAACTACTGCTTTTATGTTTGCATGGTTCTTGTTCTTCTAAGATCTTAAGGTGCATCATTATCTATGAATTTGAAATAGAGTGGGGAGGGATATATAGGGAGTTTGGGGGGAAGAAAAGGAAGGGAAAATGTTGTAATTATAATCTCAAAAATAAAATAAATAAAAATAGAAAAATTCATGTAGTCTAGAAGTTAAAATATACTAGAATAAACATAGAAACATAAATTAATGGAATAAAGAGATAAAGGAAAAGAAACATCAAAGGGCAAAAAGCAGGGAGGGGCTGGCGAATTGATTCAGCAGTCAAAAGCATTGTACTTCCAGAGAACCCAGATTCAATTCCCAGCACTCATGTGGCAGCTCACGAATCCATAACTCCAGAGCCAGGAGATCTGACACCCTCCTCTGGCCTCAGTGGTTACCAAAAAAGTAAGTGGATACAGACATACAGATAGGCAAAAAAAAGCTATACACATAAAGTAAAATAAAACTCATTTAAGAAAGGGGGAAACATAAGGGGCAAAAGAAAGGCTAAGTTTTAGGTTGGCTTCTTTCTAGGTCTTCTAATATTAGAGTCTGCCAAGTGGAGGGTGGCATTTGAATTTTAGATTATCTGTTATTCCATTTAAGTTATTACTGGACCAAGTCAAGGGTCAGATGTTCCTAAGAGCTATCTTCCCTTTAGAAGGTTCGCTTATTAATGTACAAGAAGCCTCTGTTAGGCACACCTGGCCTGGTCATCTTCTCACACTCCCAAGAGTCCCCAGCTTGTACACTCTGGCATGGCTAATGTTTTAATCGGGGTATGTGTCCCAATTGCATTAGAAGTGATGAAAACAAACAAAACATAGAGATTTATACATCTATAACAATCTCGTAAGCTTTCAAAATATTCTCAACATTAAATACCCTTATGGAAGATGTTCTATGGCATTGTTTCTGGGGAGATGTGAGCAAACATCTCCTCGTTCCATATAGGGAACCAGAGACAAACCAAAGTAGGGATACCACCAAAGTTGTATTGTGGTTACTTATGGGAATATGGGTAAGAGGTCATTTACAGGAACGGAGATGACTTAAAGATAACTGTATCATCAAAAGCCCACCCCAGCATGGGTGACAGCTCACAAAACTGGGAACCTGGAGAGTACTGCACAATTTGGAGGCAGCTTACAGGTTGGAGAATGTCTTCAGGAAGTTTGGTTGGTCTCTGCTTCTTCCAAGCAGCCCAACTGGCTTGTGTCTCTTCTAGGCAGCTTGGTTGGTCTCTGTCTCTTTCAGGCCACTCTATTGGTCTGAGAGACTCAGCAGCCCTTCTGCTTATATACTGCTTAAAGAAGGGGGGGGGGGGGGGGCAGTAGATCTGGTCAATTCCAAGGTCTTCCTAAAGCTTTTAAGTTGTTTACTTTCTAAACTTAATAACATTCCCTAAAGAACTAAATTTCTCACTTCCCTTTAAACCCCATGTCTTAATAAGTTTCCCTCCAAGATAATTAAGCTTTTACCCTTAAAAAACACATTTGAGTGCTGTGTTCACAGTCAGGGTTGAAATTGTTTGGATTTTTGCACACGCATTTGTCCCTTTTCAGCCATTTTAATCTATGAAGACTTAGAACAGTCATTCCCATTTTGAAGCACTAATACTTACTAGAGGCCTGGAGAGAAGGTCTGGTGGCCAAGAGCTCTTGTTCTCTTGCAGAGGACCGACCAGGTTTGGATTCCCAGCCCTCAGGTGGTGGCTCACAACAATCCATATCCCCAGTTCCAGGGGATAACATATGGTAAACCTATGTACATGGAAGCAAAACTTTCATACACATAAAGTAAAATAAGTGAATCTTTAAAACGTTTAAAAAATAAAATGCTATTACTCAGGCTGCTAAGGAATTTGTTAATCAGTTATCAGGTGGGAAGCTGAGTCAGATACGAGTTTCCTGTTAAAACCTAAAGAGACTACTCGGTTTTGACCTGCCGGCTTTTAATGTCTTCTTACAGCACAAGTGAGCATATCCCAGAAAGCAGATTGCTCGAGCATTGTGTTAATTCATTCACTGACATTTTAAGCCACTGTGAGATCTGTAGGTGTCTGTGTCAATAGTCTTTCAGACAGCCTAATAGGTGCTAAGCCCCCGACTTCCAGGACTATGGGCAGGGCCTTGTGAACTCCTACCTATTCCATGCTGGAATGTTAACTGGCTTCATCTTGTGCATGTCTATGCAAACTAGAGCTGCTGTGAGGTCATGAGTGCTGCAGTTATGTCAGCACTCTTGTGTTCAGGAAACAATCTACCCGAAGCTCTCCAGCCTCTGGTTCTTTGTTCCTCCTCCTCTTCCATGATATCCCCTGAGCTTTATGGGGAGGAGTTGTGATATAGATGTCCTGTTTATGGTTGAGTACAGATACTTATTCTCTGTACTTTGACCTGGTCATATTACTGGCTTTTGGGGGATTGAATGATACCTTGTACGTGATACTACTTAGTAACTTAAAAATGTTAATAAACATTTATTAGATGTCAATGAACCTGCTAAGGGCCAGCTGCCAGAAAAAAATGCAGCCCTTGTGCTAACTTTGATTATTGGCCATTATTAATTAATATTTAAGATTCCAGCAAAGACATTCTCTTAGTATATAAATTGTTATAGAGCTTATATTAAGCCAGATCAGCTCCTGGAGGTTAATTGTAGTCCTGGCTCAATATTAATGACTACCTTATATCTTCTGGTTCATTTAGGAGCTGATATTATAGCAAGGCTTGGTGGCTTGTGCATATAGTCCTGCCATTCAGAGATTAACAGGGGAAAGTGAGTTCAAGTGCAGCCTGGGCTACATACATAGGAAGACACTGTACCTCCTGACTTCCCACCCCCACCCCTGCCTCCAAAAGACAACAAGTATGTGTGAATAGGAATCAGACCTATGGTCTCACCACTTCTCCTTGTTTGGAAAGTACAGATCCAGAAGAGATCCAACCTGGAAATATATGAAGCTAAAATCTACCAAGTTCTCCCTTCAAATTCAAGGTTCAGTGCTCTAAAGTAGAGTCAGTATCTCTATGGATTAGAGTTCAAAAGTAAAAAATCTCTGTGCTTCTGGGTCCTAAATCTGGAAAGCAATAGGTCCTCATGGCTGAAGTCAAACCACAGTGGAAACAGTGGGGTGTTATAAAATATGAGAATGCTTCAGACCATCAAATCCTGTTACTTGTCTTGATTTTAAGGGCAGATTCTCACTGAAGAATTTAGGGAGCCAGGTTGTAGGTTACTTGTCTTGATTTTAAGGGCAGATTCTCACTGAAGAATTTAGGGAGCCAGGCTGTAGGTGTAACCATCTTATTAAATAAGAAACACAGAGCCAATGCAAAGATGAAAGCCCAAGAGGTCAGAGCAATAGCTAAGAACTAAAAACCTTACCCTTCACTGTCGCTTCTGTCCTTCTCAGCAAGAAAGCTACTTCCTGTCTGTTTGTCCTTTTTATAGACTTTCTGTTCTGCCTTCTCATTGGTTGTAAACCCAACCACATGACCTCCTTGTCACTGCCTGTCTGTACAGACCTCCAGGTTTTCTATGGTTGGTATTAAGATTAAAGGCGTGTGTGTTCATGCTGACTGTATCCTTGAACACACAGAGATCGCCTAGCTCTGCCTCCCAAGAGCTGGGATTAAAGGTGTGCACCACCACCACCACCCAGTTTCTGCTATGGCTTGCTATTAGCTCTGACCCCCAGGCAACTTTATTTATTAACATACAAATAAAATCACATTTCAGTACAATTAAAATATCACCATACCAGGTAATGAAGGTGCACACCTTTAATCCCAGCACTCAGGAGACAGAGGCAGGCAGATCTCTGAGTTTAAGGACAGCCTGGTCTATAGAACAAGTTCCAGGACAGCCAGGGCTGCACAGAGAAATCCTGTCTCAAAATAATGATAATTATTATTACTATTATTATTATTTTTTAGGGAGTTGGTCATGAAGCCATTTGAATTACACCATGCGTTATTGATATACTTCTTGTCATTAAATCACTTGGGTTAATAAAGCCAAAATCAAACTTTAAAATTCAAGTAAAGTGATTGGGAAGCCCTTTCCTTTTCTTACCTTTCTCCTTTCAGGACAGAAAATAAAGCTTATGCTTGTAAGAGTGGCATGTTTATTTGTAAAAAAAAAAAAAAAATATATATATATATATATATATATATATATATAAAACAAAGTGACTAAAAGATATAACTAACATTTTGAAGTTATAACCTTTATATTTTCATGTACATCATTCTATTGATAAATATTTGTATGGTAATGTTAAATTATATAGTATATGTACAATTTTGCATGTTTTAAAATATATCTTTTTAAGAATTTTTCATTTGCCCATGAATATTCTTTTATAAATATTACTTTGGTCACATATAAGAATGTCACTGTTTATTTAAATATATTATTGATCTTTTGGCTTCTTTCTATATTTACTAATATAAGCAACTCTGAGATAAAGATCTACATGAAGATAAATTTAATTCTTAAGATACAATACTAAAATGGAAATTTCTGGGTCAGTGAATATGAAAATTTTTAAAATTGGCTTTCCTTTTGAAGAATATCATATTTGAGTTCCCAGAGAGTTTAATGACGTATCTTCTGAACTCATCTTTTCTGACTGTATAGCAATTTGTATTTAGATAATTACTGTAACCATTACTAGAAGTTGACCGTAGGTGATCTTTTAGGCACTCGGATGCATCTCTTCTTTCTGTCTACTATTCCTTCAGATGGATATCAGAACGTCTGGCTGAGCCCATTTACAAGATATGGCAGAAGCACTTGTGCCCATCTTATGACTAATTGCTTACCCATTGCCTCCATTAGTCACATTTCTTTGTTTTCTTTCAGATGGAATGGGGCGAGTCCTTGCTCAAGATGTATATGCAAAAGACAACCTACCCCCATTCCCAGCATCAGTAAAAGATGGCTATGCTGTTCGAGGTAAATATGTTAGTTTTCTTAAGTGTCCTCAGAATCATACTGTATTTTTTCCACATTTTTGTCTCAATCCACATACCTGATTACTATTATATCTATTCCCAATTAATTGTCAAAATTACTTCACTCACCAGTAAGCTTGCTAATCTGTACCTGTATATTTTTGACACAATCTTGATTAGTGCTCTTCAATCAAAGTATTATATAATCCTATGAAAATTCTTTATTACAAATGCATACCTAGAGATCAAATTTAAAACACCATTACTTGTCTAGGGGTATGGCTCAGAAAAACTACCTAGCATGTACAAGGACCTAGGTTCTCTGACACCACAAAAACAAAAATGCTGCTACTGTAGCTTATACTCTTAGCCTCTTACCAGAAAGCATATAGCCTAGTTCTAGAATTCTTCCGTGTTTTCTAATCAAAAATATTTAAATGATCTTAGGAAAAATGAACAGATTAAACACAGGGATTAAATGTGAAAGTCTCTTCTCTTGCTTCAAACTTAAACATCAGTAAAGAGTTTGGTGAAATACAAGCATGAGTGAAACATCTAATTCTCTCTGGAAGAAGCCATATTTCAGAGCTCCAGACCCCAGATGGTACTAGCAGCTCACACCCTCAGAGTGGCCTAAAATTGTCTAAAACTTAAAAGCAAATACTAAATAGCAGTTGCTTGCCTAAAATCTGATCTAATAACCGAAAATAAAAATGTAGCTGAATTGCTTAAAAACTCTTGACTTTTTACTTTGTTTTTCTATGTATGATATATTTTAAAATAGGTATACACTGTGATATGATTCCATTGAGCTAATTAGCACATGAATTATCTCACATAATTTTTCTTGTAATGAAAATACTCAAAATCTGTTTTCTTAGCAATTTTCAAAAAAGAATACATTAGCTGGGCAGTGGTGATGCACACCTTTAATCCTAGCACTTGGGACGCAGAGGCAGGCGGATCTCTGTGAGTTCAAGACAGCCTGATCTACAAAGTGAGTTCCAGGACAGCCAGGGCTGTTATACGGAGAAACCCTGTCTCAAAACAAACATACAAACAAAAAAACCCAAACCATTATTTTTATGTTATTGGTTATTAACTCAAATAAAAATTAGTCTAAAAACATTTCCTTGCTTTTCAGGGGTGTTTAAAAATGCAGTTTTTTAAAATTTTTTATTTAATTTTTCCATACAATAATTTTGATCATTTTTCTGCTCCCCCAACTCCTCCCAGATCCTCCCCACCTCCCTACCCAACCAACTTTGTATTCTTTTTCTCTCTCTTTCCAAAAAAATTCCACAAAAATAAAAATCAAAACAAATAAGCAAAAGACCAGTAAGACACAAAATGATGAAACAAAACACCACAAAAAAGCCATTGAGTTTGTTGTGTGTTGGCCAACTACCCTGGGCATTGGGTCTTCCCTGTAGTATAGTTAGCATACCCAGTGGCACTCCACTGGGAAAAACTGATGTTCCCTTGACAAAGGGCATTAACTGCAAATACCTTCTTGGTTTGGGGTGAGAGTTTGTGTTCACTTCCTTGTGTGCTAGTATCCTATCTAGCTTGAACTTGTGTAAGTTTTGTGCATTCTCTGTGAGATTATATGTATATCAGCCCCATTGTGTCTGGAAGATACTGTTTCCCTGGAGACATCCATCCCCACTGGCCCTTACCATCTTTCTGCCCCCCTCTTTTACATAGCTCCCTGAGCCCTGAGGGGAGGGGTTTGATGAAGACATCCTGTTTGGTCTTCAGATCATGTAAATTTTTTACCTTTTACTGACATGTTTTTTTGAGATTAAGGGACAATAAACCAGTATTCCAGGAATTTTCAGAAATTTTGAAATTATTATTTTTTGTGTGAAGTTATTTTATAAAACTATTTTGACAGTCATGAAGTAAATAGAAAAATCAGCATTAGACAGCATTAATATTATCTAAATTTTTCTAAAAGTAAACAAGACCTATACAGATGAATAACAATTTCAGAAATTCCATATGGGGTTTCACTATAACATAATGAGAAAAATATTTAGAAATAAATGTCCTGTGTGACAATGCATCCAGATGAAGTAGAGAAGTTTTCTGTGTTTGAAATGAATGTATTAAGTGTATGAGAATTACTATTAGTTTTGAGTATATTATTACTCACAATTATTATTTTTAAAATACTTCTAGCAGTCTTTACATTCTGTTATTTGGATAGCTAACATTCGTATTTAAAGAATAAAATATACCAAGTTTAGTAGTGCTTACAAAGAACTACAGCCTACATGAATAGTTAAACAATGAAAAAAATCTAATTTAAAGTTCATATTTCCCTCATAGAATCACATATGGACACAGCCATTCAAATCTTTTTAAATGATGAATTATGGATTATCTTGTTTTTGTCTCTTCTGTCCTTCTGTCCATTAAAATAATATTTCTTTTTCTTGTAATTAAATACATTCATTAATCTCTGCCATGTTCCAGTGCCATCTCTTATGTTAGAGGCATCATTTAAAATGGTTAAAGCTGTGTATATGGGCTTTGAACAGAGTCCAAGTGATCTAGGTTCCAGGACTGCCTTCCTCTGTATGACTTTGAGTAAATTATGCAAAAGTTTTTTATCCTGTTTTCTCATCTATGAAATGACAAAAACTATGACATTACTCTAAGAGATTGTTGTGAGAATCAATTAGACTATGGAAAGCCTTAGTAAAGTACCCAGAACATACCAAAAAAAAGAACATTTAAAAATTGTTTCCTTAATGTTTAATGATAAATATTACTTTTGTTGTTATTATTTTGTTGTTGTTGTAAACACACTTTTCCAGACCATCTCTGACCAAAGGATGACAGTCAGAGCTAGGCACAACGGTGCATGCCTCTAATCCCAGCATTTGGGAGCTGAAGCAGGAGGATCATTAGTGCAGAGCCAGTGTGGGCTACAGAAAATACCTTGTCCCCAAAATATAAAAAAAAAAAAGAAAGAAAGAAAAGAAAAAGTGGGGTACCATTTATCTGAATTGTTATTCTTACAATTTTTACTAATAGAATCTCAAGATATCTATCTTTAATGTTTCTCACTAGATTAGACTGTCTCTGAAATTGGCAAAGCATAAATAACATTTTTGGTACCAGTATTTTTCTTCCAAGTTTATCTTTGTGTACTGTTTATGAAAATTCGGGCGGTGGTGGCACACGCCTTTAATCCCAGCACTCTGGAGGCAGAGGCAGGCGGGTCTCTGTAAGTTCGAGGCCAGCCTGGTCTACAGCGCGAGATCCAGGAAAGGCGCAAAGCTACACAGAGAAACCCTGTCTCGAAAAACCAAAAAAAAGAAAATGAATATTGTCCAGACAGAAAATTATTTATCTTTATTATCGCTTCATGGGTTCTCCTTATTACTTATTTCCATCTAAGAGGTAAATTCTGTTTTGGTCTCTTTATAGCCATCTAGAATTACTATAAAATGACAGAAGATTTTTATTTGTGGAGTAAAACAGAGAACTATAGGAGTGAAATATTAGCAACAAGAAAGTGTTTTTACATTCTTGGGTATAAAGTAGGAGATAGTGAGAAAATAAATTATCTGAAGTGGAACTATTCTCAAGAGAGAATGTTTCTCTGTGATGTTTACATGAAGCAGGAGCAGCTGAGTAAAAAGAAACTATAGCTCATAGCTTTTTTTCTTGCCAAAAATTTAGCTAGCCCACATGAGCCATAAAAGAGCCTGTCTACTGCTGTAGAATCTGTTCAAGATATTTTGCATAAAATCACAGTTGTATGTCCTATTTATTCTTTTGTTTAAGATTGCTTTTTTAGTTATTTCACCAAGAAAAACCCCAAATGATATCTCACAGTTTAAGACATCCAAGAAATTACCTAGCAACTGCTGAGTCATGTTATTCCTGCTGGCAAACTGTTGTTGCTGGTTCTCTACGATATATAAAAAGATACAGCACATACTGCAGCCATTGTGTGGTTAATCTCAAAGGAGGGTGACTGAAGTACATTCTAATGGAAGCAAGAACTGTCTCCAGTAGACAAAGAGGCATGTTCTTAGAACCATGCTAAATTTTTCAGTTTGCATATCCTTACTTTTGCAGTTCAGAAAAAACAGACACAGGCACACATCCACACTAGCCCTTACCCTTGAGGCCAGTGTTGTGGCTTCCTAACCCTTTCTACTGAGTCACTCTCCCCTCCCTTTATTCTCCCCTGTTTCTTCTCTGTTTTTTACCTTAGGCTTTCCAATAACAACCAGTGGCCCTTATGAGCACTGCTAACTCTTTAAGTGGAAAGAAGTTTCTAGCGTGTTCTAGATCTCTAAACTTGCTTCAGAAACATGTGGAACAAAACTCCAAAGCAGTTCGAAGAACACTTACATTTAGGTATGTGGGTTGAAAAATCAAGATATAGACTAAGAAAACAAGAGGTAGAACAAGCTGGTGGTTCACTGGCACCAGGAGGATACAGCAGGAAGATTACCATGAGTTCAGAGACAGTCTAGGTGTCATAGTAGAGAAGGAACCAGCCAGAGCTACATAGCAAGACCATGTGTCAAAAAACTTTCAAAGCCTGTGTGAGTTCGAGGCCAGCCTGGTTTACAGAGCGAGATCCAGGACAGGCACCAAAACTACAGAGAGAAACCCTGTCTCAAAAAAACAACAACAAAAAAAAAACTTTCAGAAGGTAAGAAGAGTGAGTATAAACAGCTTTCAAAAAAACAAGAAAAGCCAGAGAGATAGCTTAGCGGTTAAAAGCATTGGCTGTTCTTCTAGAGGACCTGGGTTCAATTCCCAGCACCCACATGGCAGCTCACAACTGTCTGTAACTCTAGTTCCAGGTAATCGGACAGTTTTGTACAGACAAAACACCAATGCACATAAAATAAAAATAAATAAATTTTTTTAAAAAGCCACCTTTAATTCCAGCACTCGGAGGCAGAGGCAGGCAAATCTCTGTGACTTCCAGGCCAGCTTGGTCTACAGAGCAAGTTACAGAACAGC